CACACACACACACACACACAAATAAGCACACAAACTTATTCACAAATTCACTCACGCATACACACAAATAAAGATACTCGCCCACAAACACTGACACACTCACCGTCGCAAATGCACTCACACACACAGTCACAAACACACAGATACTCAAACACACATGCAGATACACACAAACACACTGATACACAAACAGTCAGACTGAAAGACATTTAGACACAGACACAAATACACAGACACAATCTCTCTCTCTCTCTCACTCACTCACACACACACACACACACACACACACACACACACACACACACAAATAAACACAAACTTATTCACAAATTCACTCACGCATACACACAAATACAGATACTCACACACAAACACTGACACACTTACAGTCGCAAATGCACTCACACACACACACACACACAGTCACAAATACTCAAACACACATGCAGATACACACAAACACACTGATACACAAACAGTCAGACTGACAGACATTTAGACACAAACAGACACAAATACACAGACACAATCTCTCACACACACACACACACACACACACTCACACACACACACACACACACATCAGTTTGACAGCCGTCTCAGAGAGAAAGACCTCATCTATACCCTGTCATACCACACCAGTGCTTCCCACACGCTGATTCTGTGTGTGCGCGATCTGTCACTCACACAGGAGCTCTCACGTGCTCTGCAGACCCACAGAGATGCGCCTTTTCCACCAAAATGCATCCGACCGTAGTTTCTGAATCTCCCTAAATGTCCAGGATTCAGGTTTTACTTTCGCTTTCTAAAGTTGCCGTTATTTGTGTGTGTTTGCAACACCATTTCGCAGCTGACTGCACGCACACAGCCGAGAGAGAAACATTAAATGATTAAATATTTAATAAAGGACTCAGATAAACTTTATACTCGAAGAGAACAAAATGACATCTATAATGGCGGCAAACTATTTGTACACCATTAGAAATGGCTAATCAACTAATTAGCTTCATTTAAAGGGGTGGTCCAGAATGTAATTTTAAGGCTTGGTTGTGTTTATAAGATGCAAAGCAATGTGTGCTCATGTTTCACTTGAAGGAAATCGTGTTATATTTTCATTTATCTCACTTTGATTATACACAGCTACACAGCTAACATAAAAACGAATGTTATATTTCCTAGTTCCTCTGAAAGGCTAGGAATTTGCAGATGATCCCTAACACTGCGTGCATGACTGTGGCGAATATCAAACCTAAAACCAACTTTACCGTGCTGATTTAGCTGTCTTTTAACGATTTTAGGACTAACAAGTTGTTAACGTCACAAGACCTAATACAGTATATACAATACGACTTCATCACAAGGCCTACCGCACTTATGCTGCAGTTTCTCTGCCCATTGAGGAAGCCCGCGACTCCTGCTGCGGGACGGAAGTTTGACGTTTGATTCTCCTGTGTCCCGTGTTCCTCTTGCTCTACCAACGCAGCAGCTGCTTCACGTAAAAGCTGACTAACAGTTTTGCCCTTTTACTTCTGTTATACTGTATTTGAACTAGTAAACTCACGCTGTCTCATCCATCAAAACCGTGCTTCTGCCCTCGGGCTCTGTGTGTGAAAGCACTCGACGTCACTTGAATACGCCCCTCCCACTGATTAGCATAGGCTTTGCATTCAGCTTGAAGTTGAAAATGAAATCGAAAATGAAAACTGAAATGAAAAAGTGTCAATAAAAGGAAAGTTTAAATTTACATTTTCATTTGAATTGTGTCACTATTATAGCGTGAACATTAATAACACGCTTTGTAAAAATTGTGTTTTCATTTTATTTTTCAGTTTGGCTTTTCATTTTAATATTGGCAGTCTTGACGTGGAAATGCAGTGAAAATGAAATGTTAAATCGGCAACTTCATTTTAATTATCAATTTGACAGGGACGATGTGTTGTCAAAGTGAAAATGAAAATAAAAATGAAATAATTTAATTTCATTTTCAATTTTGGCAGATATTTTGCGAACAGTGTTTTAAAATGAAATTGTTAATCGGATTTTCATTTTAATTTCCAATGTTTATTTGAGTTATTTAAAATTGGCAGGATTTACCTTCCATAAAGGTTGTCTGAGTCTATGAGTGTGTGTGAGTGAATGTGTGAACTTTCTGTAACAAGCGCATGTGCGCGGGACTTTCTTTTACTCTGATGCTTGGATTAAGTTATTTTCTGTAATATATCATGACAGAAGAATAAAGCACAAGATGTGGGATGCCACCTGTGTGAGCCTTGATTTATTATTCTGCTGCTACACGAGTCAGGTAAGCTAACCTGTATTTTTTTTAACTCTATGCGTTACACGACGTCTTTCACGTGTATACGGAATATGCAGGTGTAAGTGATATGAATCATCCACATATCTTATGCGACTTCATTATCTGAGATGAGAAATGCATGAAAAAGCTGCCTGAAGACAATCAATGTAGTCGCGCGCGCGCACACACATAAGAGACACAAACGTGCTGGTGGAGTTTGTGTGTGTGTGTGTTTACAGCCGTTTGACTGATAAATATGAATTTGTAGCTAAATTATTTGCCCGCAAAGCAGCATTTCGCATTGTTACATACATCAGTGGTCAGCAAACTTGTTCCTGGAGGGCCGGTGTCCAGCATGTTTTAGCTCCAACCCTAATCAAACACACCTGAACAAGCTAATCAAGGTCTTACTAGGTATACTTAAAACACCCAGGCAGGTGTGTTGAGGCAAGTTAGAGCTGAACCCTGCAGGGACACCGGCCCTCCTGGACCGAGATTGGTGACCCCTGGTTTACATCATTAATACAGCATACCGTTAACGCTAGACACTGTACTGCAAGGTTTACAGTGCTGATCCCAGGGGAGGACTGGGACTAAAAATCAGCCCTGGCATTGTAGCCACACCAGGCCACATTACCACACCGACACAGCCCCACCCAAGGACACGCACATTCACTACTTATATTGGTGTACAGATGGTAAAATTATATAAGCAGTACCTATTTAAGAGATATTTAAACTTTTAATGTATGTGACTGAAACAAAAACAACCCATTTATATATGCAATCATGTCATTCATTTTCTTTTCGGCTTAGTCCCTTTATTAATCTGGGAATCGCCAACCTATACTGCATATGTTTTATACAGCGGATGCCCTCAAAGCTGCAACCCATTACTGGGTTACCCAATTCCCAATTGGCCTACCCAATTCACCTATAGCATGTGTTTGGCCTTGTGAAGGAAACCAGAAGGAAACCAACGCGAACATGCAAACTCCACACAGAAACACCAACTGACCCAGATGAGGCTCAAACCAGCGACTTTCTTGCTGTGAGGCGACAGCACTACCTACTGCGCCACTGCACTGCCCCCTTTCGAGACTAGTTCAGTTAATTTTATGTAATTGGCAATGTCTGACTTGACTGCCTTTCCCTTTTTAAGGTCCATCTCTGACAATTAGCTTGTGTTGCACTCACTGTTTGTTTGACGTTCTTGCCAAATTTTGATTATGTCTGCGTAACCTCAGATTGGGTCGGCCCATCTCGAAACCAGTCGGTTGTTGCTGATTGGGCCAATGCTTAACATTTACTATTATTCTTACTATTATCACCATCATCTTCATAATATTCACATCTCGCACGAGATAAAAGCTGCCTACATTTAAAAAAACAATACGTATGAAAAAAAAAAATAGCTGACCGGCCCACATTTAAAAAATGGTCCGGCCCTTCTTGCATTTGCCAGAATTGCCAGATGGCCAGTCCATGTTATGTCCATGTTATAAATGTTGGATTAACCAACAAATTAAAAAAAGTCATTCATCCGCATTTCTAAATGTTATTAATCTGTGGGTCATGTGCTTTCCGAACTGTGGGTTGTGATCCGTACAGATCACGGATCAACAGGGATGAATTACACCCCTACAAACAGCAAATACTAATTTTTTCCCCCTAAATTATAACATCTAAAATGTTCTTCATTCAAACCAATTCAAATTAAAATGATAAAAGAATAATTAGTTTACGACAAAGAGCATCAGATATGCAAAACGTTCAAGGAAAATTCCCTAATTACGATTAAAGACCTTCGATATACAAAAGGCACCAAATTAGGATCTACAAACATCGGCTAATCCCCAAAAGAGAATCTAAACAAACATCGCCGGCAGAGGAAAAACACATTTCACAAGCACATCAAAAGAGGCTTTAAAGAGGAAGATAGAAATAAATAAATACTAAAAACAAGAGCATCATCTTCCCCTGCAGAAACACATGCACATCTGTCTGTGTCATTAACACTCCATGGCCCTTAATGAGCGTCTGACGAGTTTTAAAAGTCTGCTTTTAATAAGAACAATGACAAAACATGCTGTCTGCTGTCACTGCTCATTATAGAGCATGTGCGTGAGCGGAAACGAGCCGGTTACATCAGCGCTTTTACCGCAGTAACACGTTCACACTCGCTTCAGTCTCTCGCCGTCTCGTATCGACACTCACACTTCTGTTTTTCAGCCGCAGGAATAGATGTCTTAATTAAAGCTCAACTTTTTATAAGTTCAGCTGAGGTAGCACAGCGTTTGGGGTAATAAGCCGTCTTGATGATGTTACTTTAAAGTGGAAGTGAAGCAGTCAACCTTACATTATTTTATACATTGATTAATATATTGTTTTCATTCACTCTGTGGTGATCGTGAGGCTTAAACTGGTCACAGCTTTCTCTGCGCTTCAGCAAACTGAATTTAGACAAGTCTTATTTTAATATTTATTTTTGAAAAATGCTTCGAAAATTGACAAAAATTCAACAATTGACTTCCCTTTGGTGATGTTAGGGGCTGTTTTTGCCCCATTGACTTCCATTATAAACACATTTATAATCATATATCTCATGCATTCTTCATTGTTGCTAGTTTTCCTCGTTAGGGTGAGGTAGAATTTGTCATTTTTACTGTTGATCATCAGTTGCGGTGCAAAAAAAGCTTAGTTTCTGGGTTTTATATGGAGTATAGTGTGTGTATGTTTGAGTGTAAGAGAGACATTTGCACACTTACCTTGAGATGTTTGAGAAAATAAAAAATAATCCCCTCAGCTTTCAGAACACAGTAAACAGAGCAAGTGTATTTCTGCACACACACCAAAAATTGGCCATTTAAAGCCTGTTTTATACTTTTGCATCAAGTAATCGGTGTGATCACGGCGCATGCAACGCGCGGAGCTGTGCATTCATACTTCTGCGCGCTGTTTCTGTTGCTCAGCAATAACACTTCCGAAACGCTAGTTGGCATTGAAGTGTTTGTATTCCTCTGTGTCGAGTTTCTCCGCTGGTGTTTTGTTTTTTTTCTGAACACTTCCTTAATGTACAAGTGGCTCAAACTCGCTCATTTTGAGGCAGGAACCGGCGGACGTGTAACAACTTTAACCATAAGGTAAACACAAAACAAAACTTTCCCGGCCCTATCATACACCCGGCGCAATGTGGCGCAAGGCGCGGCACAATACTTGTTTGCTAGTTTCAGCTTGGCGCAAGAGTCATTTTGAGGCGTTGCGCTACGCTGTTTAAATAGCAAATGCATTAGCGCTCATATGTGCGCCCACAGGCGTTCTGCTCTAAAAAGGAAGGCGTTCTGAGGCGGACCGCTGGCGCGTTGCTATTTTGAGAAACTATAATAGATTTTTCATTAGACCAAAACAAACCCGGTCTAAACTCCAGCGCAGAGTTGCGCCTCGCTTACACACTGCTTAATACACACAAGAGAGCAATAGGCAAATATCTTTACATATGAAAAAAATGTAAATATTAAGGATATATATAGGATATAATAAGGATATATATAGGATATAAATATAAAGGATTAAAATATTACAAAACATTATTTTCTAGCCTACATAAATATGAAAAATCACAGCTTTTATGCCTTCTTCATTTCGGGAGGCTTTTTCAGTTCATTCATAACAATTTGCTTTTGTATATTTATATATTTATATATTATTATTATTAGCAGTATTATTTATTATATCCATATTTATATTTGTTTTATTAAAAACAAGCTTAGTTTTGCCCACCTGTCAGGTTTTAGACCATATGGGGCACAGCATGTGTTTTAGGATATAACTCGGGTTTTTGAGCACATTTTGTTATTTTTGTTCATTTATTCGTTTGCTGGAAATTAGAACTGAATTTATCTTTGCGCTAAACAAACTAAATTAAATATGTGGGCTAATGGATGTCTTCAGTGGAGTGAGTTTCCACCGTTTCCTTCCTCCACCAAATTAAAGGAGTAAAGAGTAAAAGTAACAAGGCTGAATGGAGGAGGCTCGTTCTTTATCCTCGCGCTGCAGATGCTCTGTTGAACTGTTTTCTCACTAGTGAAGCGTTCAGTTTTTACACTTACAAAGTCTGTCATGTAAATAGCAAATGCACCATGGTGTGACGCAGCTGACTCTTAAAGAGAATGAGAGATGAGGTTTGATTGGTTTAATGCAGGTTATGCTCAAAACACACCCAGAACTCATTAAGAGAATAAGCACAACCCTGTTAGACCAGGAGCGTATTAATCCATTCTTATAATAGCAAAAGTGGATTCAGACACACCCTTAATGCTTTGTGCCATGTGCTTTAGACTTTGCCCCAAGATCGGGAACATGATCTTCTGTCAGTGCTGCACATCCCTATTTTACACCTACATGTATTAGTGTGTAGTTAAAAACATTTACTGTCTTTTAAGTGCAGCTTGCATCTTGTTTACGTCCATCGCATATTCATTCATTCATTTTCTTGTCGGCTTAGTCCCTTTATTAATCCGGGGTCGCCACAGCAGAATGAACCACCAACTTATCCAGCAAGTTTTTACGCAGCGGATGCCCTTTCAGCTGCAACCCATCTCTGGGAAACATCCACACACACTCATACACTACGGACAATTTAGCCTACCCAATTCACCTGTACCGCATGTCTTTGGACTGTGGGGGAAACCGGAGCACCCGGAGGAAACCCACGCGAACGCAGGGAGAACATGCAAACTCCACACAAAAACGCCAACTGAGCTGAGGCTCGACGCAGCGACCTTCTTGCTGTGAGGCGACAGCACTTCCATCGCATATGTCTGTTTTAATTCTGCCTCCCAGCTCAGAGGGGAACGTACAATTTAACAGTTAGTTTTTATACACAGAAAGCATATTGCTAATTTATGCTAACAGCCAGAACCAGATTATTACAGATTTGGCCTTTGTTGGTGAGAAAAAAAAAAAGCTGTAACTAATAAAAAAGACAGGATGGCTTTACTCCCGATAAATGCTGTAAAATATTCCTCACACCATCTGCTATCGTTCGCCATCCACCAGCATCCGCTTTGTAGTGTGTGAACAACAGATACAGTAAACACAGACACTCTTCACCAACTTTTTCCCCCCCCCGCACATGATAATGGATCCAGCAATGACACTCACCACAAGTGAATAGCAGATCTTGAATCCTGGTTTGGCTACGAAGTAATCGTCTGATTTGAAGGTGATTTTGATGAGGTTTGTTTTGGAGGTGATCCGTGACGGAGCTCTTTGACCACACCAGCGGCCCCAGATGATGGTGCTGGTTTCAGAAATATCCTCCACTTCCACATAATCATACCTAAAAACACACAAACAGACACACACACACACACACACACACACACACACACACACACACACACACACACACACACACACACACACACACACACACCTGTCTGTCAGTACATCACACACACACACACACTCAAGTAAAGATTTGAGCTATTTCTAATTAACCTTTATGTCTCATTAAGTTTCCTTTGGCTTAGTCCCTTTATTCATTAGGGGTCACCACAGCGGAATGAACCACCAACTTATCCAGCATATGTTTTACACAGTGGATGCCCTTCCAGCTGCAACCCAGTACTGGGAAACATCAATACACACTCATTCACACACATACACTACGGACAATTTAGTATATTGAATTCCCCTATAGCGCATGTGTTTGGACTGTGGGGAACTGTTCCCACTCAGGACTCGAACCAGCAACCTTCTTGCTGTAAGTGCCAACCACTGAGCCACACTGTCACCCTATGTTTGTTATACATGTCTAATATTATTTGTATACTCAGAAACATTTGGAAAATAAAGTTAATTAAGGCGGCACGGTGGCTCAGTGTGCATCACTGTGGCCTCACAGCAAGAAGGTCGCTGGTTCGAGTCCCAGCTGGGCCAGTTGGCGTTTCTGTGTGGAGTTTTTGTAAGTTCTCCCCATGTTGGTGTGGGTTTTCTCCGGGTGCTCCGGTTTCCCCTACAAGTCCAAACACATGCGCTATAGGGGAATTGGGTAAGGTAAATTGGCCTTAGTGCATGCCAGCCAACACTCCTGTTTTTCCCGGGAGTCTCCCGTATTTCAGATCCATCTCCCGGCCATCTCCCTTATTGTCTCCCATCCCCCGCCGACTCTTCACTTTGCGCGCACCGCCCCTTCCGGATCTCCCGGATTTTATGATCTGAATATTGGCAGGTATGCCGTAGTGTATGAATGTGTGTGTGTGTTAATGCAAGAGTGTATAGGTGCTTCCCAATACTGTGTTCCAACTGGAAAAGCATCCGCTGCGTGAAACATATTGTATGCTGAAAGATAAACTATGGATTAATGGCCCATTTGCACTGAATGGTACAGTACTGTACTGTAGGAGTCGGTATAGTTCACCTTTCTCAGGCTTGCGTTTCCACTGCTAAAAGGGTAACAATGGTACTCTTTTGGTGGGCGTAGTGTACGCCAAAGTTTCAATCAACGTCATTTTTGCTTGAGAAAACGATGTATGTTCACATATAATATGAGAAGCACTTCTCACAAAACAGATGCTTTATACACATAAATACTTGTGCATGAATGTTCATTACTAACCTTTCTATAAAAATAATTTGACTTTAACTGCAGATCAATGATATAGCCACGAAATAGCCTACTGTATAAATAAATAAATAAATTCGACATACATGAACAAATATGGCCCCTTAAGCCTGGTTTACACTTCTGCGTCAAGTGACCGGCGTAACCCACAGAGCATGCAACGCGTGTAGCTGTGCATTTAAACTTCTGTGCGCTGTCTCTGTTGATCTGCATTAACACTACTGAAACGCTAGTTGGCAGTGAGGTGTTTGTGTTCCTCTGTGTCGAGTTTCTTCGCTGCTATTTTGCGCTTCCTGAACACTTCCTTAATGTACAAGTGACTCAAACTCGCTCATTTTGAGGCAGGAACCGGCGGACGTGCAACAACTTTAACTATGAGGTAAACACAAAACAAAACTTTCCATCCGGAGCTCCTTCACGGGACTCTACAGTTGTAAACAATCGCTCAATCGGGGACGCGCCATTCACGCGGATCTCGGTCTCGCTCAGACTCGTCAGCGCTACTAAGCCGACCAATCACAGAGCTTGCGCTACGCATCGTTGCGAAGTGTAGTTACATTTCTTGAGAGGTGCTCGTCAGCGACGCTGACGCTGACAGCCATGGCGAAGGGCTATGCGCCAACGCTGTAGCATACGCGTGCGTTTGACGCAGAAGTATAAATCAGCCTTTACAGTCTCCGATATGTTACCAACTACAGAAAAACTACACGCAGCAGACATTTAGTCTTTATTTGGTTTCAAAAACAACACGAAATACAGCCGAGTCAGTGTAAACCTGTGATATGTGTCTTTAATCTTCAGCAGCATGTGTAGCCTCTGTTAGAAAGTAATTCTGTCATTCAGAGTTCATAATAATCCTGAAGGCGATGATAATAGTTAAACATGGCAGTTTGATCATGTTTTATGTTGCGGAAAGCATCATTTTTTGCTGTTCTTTCCGGCATCTCCATTGTTTTTTCGCGCTTCACTCTCGCGTTTTTCCCTTTCTGAAAGGATCTGATATCAAAGCACTTCAATGATCACGCGCACGTTATTAATACGAGCTCAAAAAGTTTGTTATAATGAATATAGATGAGATCGCGAGCTCTCTGGTGCAGGGATTCCCAATTTATTTATTTTTTCCGGGACCCACCTAGGCAAGTAATTCAATCTCAAGACCCACCATAATATTTTAATATGGAAAAATGGGTAAAAAAAAATATATCCATTCAAAGCAGTCAAAAATATATGGTGTGTGGCTTTTTGGATTTTGCTATTTGATATGCACAAAATGAGACTCAAAGTGCTTTTTGTGGGATGCTGGCTGTAACTGTGATTTTTTTTTTTTGCTGACAAAGATACTCTTCTTTTTTCAGATAAGAATACGATCAACCTTTGGTGACACATTCAGAATGTTTTGTTGTCAGGTGTCGTTTAAGTTTCTAGTGCTAGTGTATAGTCATAAGAAACTAAACAGCTTTTTGATCGACTACTACAAGCTGGAGAAACGTCAGATAAATATGCCAATGCAATTAACGTTATTGCTGAATAGATCTAATATTTACACATTTGCTTGAGGAAGGAATGATGGGGGTAGTTACATTACTGTTACTATTTTCCATAACATCTATGCCCTTCCATAACATTAGCTGACGTTAATACTAACAGATAGCACTATAGCTATTTAATGATTAGCAATCTGTGAACGTTGGGATGTAAAAAATATGGGACAACACATAGCTACAAATGATAGAATACATAGCAAACATTAGAAAATATTGACAATTAAAGGTTTAGCCTATTAAAATCAATGGTCTATCCAGAAATTAAAAAAATCTATAAAATCTATTTTACTTTTAATTGTATTTGCATATTGATTAAAGTTACTATAGGTATTTAGTGAAGAGCAGCAAATGAATCTCTCATTGTGTTTTGTTTGATAACAGAGGTGTTCTTGTAAGAATGCACAGATCTATAATGAAGCATTCGACTACTTTAGTAACTGTGTGTGCTCATTTAAGAGAAAATTAGTAGGGTTTAGATTTTGTTCTTCTTGGCTTTGTGGCTGTTTATCAAGACGACGACAACGTTTTTTTTAAGCTCGGGCCGATCATGGCTCGTTATTATATGTATACAATACTACGGTGTAATGTCTTGGCTGAGTATTTAAAACATGGCGGTTCCTTTGTTTTCATTCTGGCTTGTTGCGCGAGCGAATCACGGATCTCTGTGAACCAATAGCGTTCAGCTGCATGTCTAGCTCTGCCTTTTGGTACCCTTGGTACCCTTTGCAAAGGGTGACCAAAAAGTGGTTCGGTATGCCTTTTGACAGTGGAAACGGCCATAAAAGCATATCGAACCATATCGTACCTTACTGTACCACTCAGTGGAAACGGACCAAAAGTGGAAGGAAAATTAATTAATAAAGGAAGTTATTTAAAATGAAAAAGGTGTTTGTTTGCAGGTGTAGCAAAAATTACCAATAGAGTCTGGCTGCAGATTTGCACTTGCACTTCCAGGCTTGCACGCTCAGACTTGCACGCTCAGACAATTGCACTTCCCCTGCAAGTGACGTCATTTACAATCACCACCTGTGTCCACTTGCATGAAAGTCCTTCAGTAATTTAACTTAAGGGTGTCGCTGAGGCGGAAAAATCTCTTTACGAAGGGATTTCATTAAGATAGTTGCAACAAACTTCTTATCCGTCACCCTTATGTGCCTTTTTTTCTCGAAGCGCTTCACTGTAGTGTCTGGACTCCACAGTTGCTATAGTTACATAAATAGATCGTAATGAACCACGAATGCTTGCTTTACAACTGCTCTGCAGTAATGTTACACATCATCTGTGCCGCCTTCTTTAAGTTAAGCGAGTCGAGATGTTCCCTTATCGAGTCGATCTCGCCATTATGTCTGGAGGAATTATAAAACTGGGCTGGGATCATGTAGAGACTGTTGAAGCTGCGCTGCAACTGTGATTTCATATGGATGCACTCCTGCGCAGATGTGCTAACTTATCAAGAAAAGTTATAAAGAATAGTTTCCCAAGTCGTTGAATCACTGCTGTAAGTCCATAATGTGTTTCTGTTAGTTGTAATAATACAACTCCTTGAAATGTTTAAAATAAAAACTAAAATAAAAATTTTTCTGCTGTTTTTTTTATTTTTTTTTATTTATATCTGTGGAAGAATATCTTGTGTGTAAATTTAGACCTGATAGTTGATATAAATAAATAATAAGCTTTGCTGGTATGAATGTTAGTGGTAAATCTACGTCAAAGCATACAATCATAAGATGAATATACTAACTGCTTTTTGGAGGGTGGGTTCTGTCATGGTGTACAACTTAAGTACTTAGCATTATTTGACAACGTCGTCACGGGCAACGCAAATGAACTGGAAACTTACTTCTGGTTTATTTGATTTTCATCTCACTTGCATAGGAAGCGTGGGTGAATGAGCGTGCAAGCCTGAAGATGCAAGAGCAACTCTGCAGCCAGACCCTTCTCAAAATGACTCATGGTTTTTCTTTAAAATGTGCATCAATATTAGTTTACTGAACAGACGTGAGTTTGTCAAGTGTAAAGATCATTTGCTAATATAATAATTTGTGGTATAGTATCAGGCCCGGATTGGCTAATCGGGAAGACCGGAAGAATTCCCGATGGGCCGGTCTGTTTTTTGGCCGCGAGGGCCGGTGTCCGTAGCTGCTTGCACTCTCAGCAGTCACACTTTTTTCATCTCTTTGTTTATTTGACTATATCTTTACTCTTTTTAATTCATTATTTTGCCGCAGCGCCGCTCTATTTATTTATTTTCTTGCAGCCTCGTGTGCAAAATGCAGCCTGCAAGTTAACTAACGTTAATGATGATGATGTAATGTAACTATCGACCCCAAACAGCGGCACCTTAGTGAATATACGAATTCGAATAACTGATATTAATGAATATTACACCTGCTCAATGAAAATCAAATGATTCACTACATTAATAAATCTGACATAACNGACTTGATCAGAAATCTTAAAAGGAGAAAAAGATTGAGCCATCAAAAGAAAGTAGTGTTGTGTCTTACGGGTCACAAGTCATTACTTATTTTTTATCAATACACTCATAGCGCTATTGTGGTCCAGTGGTACGCACGTTGCATTTCGACGCCGCGGACCCGTGTTCGAACCTCACCTGTAAAATTATTATTAATTTTTTACATTTTTATTGTAAAGACATATAATACTGTTAGGGTTGTTGAACATTTTAATTTCTAAAGCAGCTGTTTTCTTGAAAAAGACGTGATAGTGAAATTAGAAACTGAATTGGAATCAGTCGTGAACTGAGGTGGGCCGGTCTGGCTTGAAACTCCAGGGCTGAAAATGAGTCCCACTCCGGCCCTGTATAGTATACAACTTTTGTCTTGATGAATATGAATATAAAAACTCAATTATGACTATGAACTTCAGAGACATGCAATTAAAGTCAAAATTTGTATCCCCTGTATATTTTTAACCCCAGGTTTTTTTTTTTACACATTTCTGAACATAATAGTTTTAATAACTCATTTCTAATAACTGATTTATTTTGTCTGCCATGGTGACAGTAAATAATATTTGACTAGATATTTTTCAAGACACTTCTGACATTTAAAGGCTTAACTAGGGTAATTAGGTTAAAGTTAGGGTAATTAGGCAAGTCATTGTATAACAGTGGATTGTTCTGGAGACAATCCAAAACAAATATAGCTTAAAGGGGCTAATAATATTGACCTTAAAATGGCTTTAAAAAATTAAAAACTGCTTTTATTCTAGCCGGAATAAAACAAATAAGACTTTCCCCAGAAGAAAAAAATATTATAGGAAATACTGTGAAAAATTCCTGAATCTGTTCAACATCATTTGGGAAATATTTGTAAAATAAAAGGAATGCACAGGAGGGCGAATAATTCTAACTGTATATATCTTTTTTATATCAAGTTTTAGATAGATTTCTTATATCTCCTCTTCTTTCTTCTTGTCTGTTTCTAATCCTCTATATTCACCTCATCTCTCGTCTGTGTTATTTTTGTCCTGTTGTCTCAGGGGTCTTCATAAAGTATTAGCTACACAGTAAAACTCTGTAACCTCAAGGACAAACCTGTAACTGGAGAGTCACTGCAAACTCTCTGCGGTCAGACGCTCATTCTGATTGGCTCTGTGCTCATTAAATATTCATATCCTGTTTTAACTCTTCAGGCCTTTATTTCTACTTCAGAAATGCAGAATCGGGACCACAGGAATCAGAAAAATAATCCCGCTATCTTTTACCACATGTCACGACATGATTTAACCATGTAGAACGAGCTCCTGGAGGCCCTGCATTTGCATACCTATGAACTAATCACATTTTAGAGATATGTAAAGGGCTTTAGCTGTGTGTTCAGCCCTTAAATATTTACAATAAAAACCAATGCAAAGCATCAGTTTCTCTTCTCTATCTGTACCTATATAGTTATGAATTCTGCCCTCATCTGAAATTTTTAGTTGATCTCTTTCTTTATTCATATATATGTCCAGTTACAGCTCCACCTAATCTACAGTCTGCATTCTATGGATATTTTAATTCATTATTCATAAACCAATTCCACCTCCACTTAAATAGTTCTGATAACTATCCATGTATACATGCATCAGAAGCTCCACCCTTCACCAGAAGACACCATTAAACAGATCTAATTCATTATTGAGGTATTCATGCACTTGAAGCTCCGCCCTGACCTGCAGACTCAATTCTCCACCTCCACTTAAACAGATCTGATTCATTATTCATGATTTTCGGCATTTGAAGCTCTTCCCTTACCTGAAGACGGCATTAAAATCCACTTCAACTTAAAAGTAATCACGCATCAAAAGCTTGGTCTTCAACTGCAAACTATTTACTACCTCCACTCAATTCTTATTCATTATTCATGAACTCATAGACTCGAAGCTCCACCCTCATCTGCAGATCCCCAATCTCCACCTTCACTTAAACAGATCAGATTATTTATTCATGAACTCATGCATTTGAAGCTCCACCCTCACCTTCAGCCTCCATTCTCCACCTCCATTTAAAATAGATCTGATTCTTTATTCATGAACTCATGTATTTGAAGCTCCGCCCTCACCTCCAGACTCAATTCTCCATCTCCAATTAAACGGGTCTGATAATTTAGGAATCTCCACCCTCACCTGAAGACTCCATTCTCCTCCTAAGAAGAGCTAATTAATTATTCATGTTCCTTTGCATTCAAAACTCTGCCCTCACCTGAAGACACAATTCTTTACCTAAACACATCCGATTAATTATTCATAAACTCATCCATCCAATCTCCACTCTCGTATAAAGACAATTATCCACTTCACTTAAACAGATCTTATTAATTAATTCATGAACGCATGCGTTCAAAGCTCTGCCCCCCACCTGCAGACTCCATTCTCCACTTAAACAGAGCTAATTAATTATACATGTAAGCATGCATTCTAAGCTCCGCCCTCACCTGCAGACTCCATTATTCTCCATCTTAACTTAAACAGATATGAGTAATTATTCATGAACTTATGCATTCGAAGCTCCGCCTTCATCTGCAGACTTTAGTCATCATCTTCACAGATCTGATTATCCATGAACTCATCCATCCAAATATCCACCCTCCACCTTCATTTAAACAGATCTTAATTAATTCATGAACTATGCATTCAAAGCTCCTCCCTCACCTGCAGACTCAATCCTCCACCTCCACTTAAACAGATCTGATTAATTATTAATGAATTCAAGCATTCAAAGCTCCGCCCTCATATGCAGAGTCGGCAGACTCAATTAGCTACTTAAACAGAGCTAATTAATTATTCATGTGAGCATGCATTCAAAGCTCCGCCCTCAACTGCAGATCCCCTTATTCTCCACCTTCACTTAAACAGATCTTTTTAATTAATTCATAAACTTATGCATTCAAAGCTCCGCCCTCATCTGCAGACTGCATTATCCACCACCACTTAACCAGATCCGATTATTTGTGAATTCATGAATTCAAAGCTCCGCCCTCATCTGCAGACTGCATTATATATCACCCCTTAACCAGACCTGATTAATAATTTATGCATTCATGCATTTAAAGTCCCACCCTCACCTGCAGACTGCATTATCCACCACCACTTAACCAGACCTGATTAATTATTTATGAATTCATGCATTTAAAGCTCCGCCCTTATCTGCAGACTCCATTCTCCACCTCCACAGATCTGATTCATTATTTAAAAACTCATTCATTTAAAGCTCCGCCATCACCTGCAGACTCTATTCTAAACCAACACTCAACCAGATTTAATTAATTATTCATGAACTTATGCATTTAAAGCTCCTCCCTCACCTGCAGACTCCCTTCTGCACTTAAACAGAGCTAATTAATTATTCAAGAAGGAATGCATTTAAAGTTCCTCCCTCACCTGCAGACTTAATTCTCCATTCAAACAGAACTAATTAATTATTCACAAACTCACACATTCAAAGCTCCTCCCCCACCTGCAGATTCCAATCTCCATTTAAACGGAGCTAAAAAGTATTCATGAACTCTTACATACAAAGCTCCGCCCTTACCTGCAGACTCTATTATCCTCCACTTAAACACATCAGATTAATTATTCAAAAACTCATGCATACAAAACTCCGCCATCACATGCAGACTCCATTCTCCACCTAAACAGAGCTAATTATTCATGAACCATGCATTCAAAGCTCCGCCCTCACTTGCAGACTCCATTCTCCACCTCCACTTAAACAGATATGATTAATTATTCATGTAAGAATGCATTCAAGGCTCCGCCCTCACTTGCAGACTGCATTCTCCACCTCCACTTAAACAGATCTGATTAATTATTCATGTAAGAATGCATTTAAAACTCCGCCCTCACCTGCAGACTCCATTCTCCACCTCCACTTAAACAGATCTGATTAATTATTCATGTAAGAATGCATTCAAGGCTCCGCCCTCACTTGCAGACTGCATTCTCCACCTCCACTTAAACAGATCTGATTAATTATTCATGTAAGAATGCATTTAAAACTCCGCCCTCACCTGCAGACTTCATTCTCCACCTCCACTTAAACAGATCAGATTAATTATTCATGTAAGAATGCATTCAAAGCCCCGCCCTCACCTGCAGACTCCATTCTCCACCTCCACTTAAACAGATCTGATTAATTATTCATGTAAGAATGCATTCAAAGCTCCGCCCTCACTTGGAGACTCCATTCTCCACCTCCACTTAAACAGATCTGATTGATTATTCATGAACTCAAACATTCAAAGCTCCGCCCTCACCTGCAGACTCCATTCTCGGCCTCTTCCAGTCCAAACTGAGCATCAAACTCCAGCAGGATGCGTGTGTGCGGCGGCGACAGTAGTTTCCATGACAGCAGCAGGTTGCGCGGGTACGAGCTGGGGAAGCGCGGGCTCTGGACGTGACCTCCGCCCTTGATCATTATGACCTCTTCCTTCCGGTACAAGTCTGTGAGGCGATTGCTGTCTGTTACTGGTCACAACTTGGACAGGTTAGTGCGTTTATTCTCGGAAACAAACACACACGCATACACACACAGATATATACAGAAACAACACATATAAAAGGACAGAATTTGCTTCATTTCAGTTTAACACAGTTCAGGTCGGGGAAGAGCATAGATTCAGCTCAGATAATAAATTTCATCTTAATTTATACGTTTATTTCTGATCAATTGAGAAAATAAGCATTAAGTTGCTTTTCAGTCTCTGCAGACTCTAGGCGAAATAATCTGAATTCACTTCTGTCTTCATAATAAACAAACCTAGTTCACTTCTGGCGTGAATGCGTCTCCAATCGTTCTTTAGAAAATGATTAATTTCTGATTATTTTCAGAAAACGCACAGACGTATGCTTCAGATCAAGAACTAATGCTACTTTAGATTCATTCATTCGGATTAGTGCCTAATTTATCAGAGGTCGCCACAGTGGAATGAACCACTAACTATTCCAGCATATGATTTACGCAGCGGATGCCCTTCCAGCTACAAGTCAGCTCTGGGAAACACCCATACGAACTCATTTACACAAACAGCTATTTTAATTCATCCAATTCACCTGTACTGCATGTGGGGGAAACCGGAGCACCCGGAAGAAACCCATGCCAACACGGGGAGAACATGCAAACTCCACACATTTCCTTTAACCTACATTTTTCTATAACAAATAAACTGATTCTCCTTAGAAAAAAAACTTAATTCACTTCTAAATCTGTTAAGATCTGAACCGATCTCAATTCACTTCTCGAAGGGTCAGAATTCGGATTCGGTAAAAAAAATAAAAAAAATTGATTTGATTATTTTCAGAAAAAAAACTACTCCATTCTAAACCAATTTCACTTCTGATTTTCTTCATTTAAGAACTTCATTTTGAATCCTGTAACCAATGTGAAAGAATTTCTGATTATCCTGAAGAACTTTACTCACTTGATTTCTGGTAAATAGCAAAATACACGTCTAATTCGCTTCAGGAAAAAAGATTAATTTGATTCACTTAAGAAAAATAATATTTCTTTCTGATTCTCCTTGTTAAAAAAAATTCTGAATTATGTTCTGATTCAGCAAACTATTGAATTCACTTTTAAATTTCTTGGGGAAAGAACATGATTCGAACTGAATTTTCTTCTGACTCTCTTCAGACTGAATTCACTTCTGATTCTCTTCAGACTGAATTCACTTCTGAATAAATTCACTTCTGATCCTCTTCGACTGAAATCACATCTGACTCTCTTCAGACTGAATTTTCTTCTGACTCTCTTCAGACTGAATTCACTTCTGATTCTCTTCAGACTGAATTCACTTCTGAATAAATTCACTTCTGATCCTCTTTGACTGAAATCACTTCTGACTCTCTTCAGACTGAATTTTCTTCTGATTCTCTTCAGACTGAATTCACTTCTGATTCTCTTCAGACTGAATTCACTTCTGACTCTCTTCAGACTGAATTCACTTCTGAATAAATTCACTTCTGATCCTCTTTAGACTGAAATCACTTCTGACTCTCTTCAGACTGAATTTTCTTCTGATTCTCTTCGGACTGAATTCACTTCTGATTCTATTCAGACTGATTTCACTTCTGATCCTCTTCAGACTAAATTCACTTCTGATCTTCTTCAGACTGAATACATTACAGACTCTCCTCAGAATTAGTTCACTTCTGATTCTCCTCAGACTGAATTCACTTCTGATTCTCTTTAGACTGAGTTCACTTCTGATTCTCTTCAGACTGAGTTCAATTCTAATTCTCTTCAGACTGAGTTCACTTCTAATTCTCTTCAGACTGAGTTCACTTCTGATTCTCTTCAGACTGAGTTCACTTCTAATTCTCTTCAGACTGAGTTCACTTCTGATTCTCTTCAGACTGAGTTCACTTCTGATTCTCTTCATACTGAGTTCAATTCTAATTCTCTTCAGACTGAGTTCACTTCTGATTCTCTTCAGACTGAGTTTACTTCTGATTCTCCTCAGACTGAGTTCCCTTTTGACTTTCTTCAGACTGATTCTGATTCTCCTTGTTAAAAAAAATTCTGAAATATTTTTTGATTCAAGAAACTATTGAATTCACTTTTAAATTTCTTGGGGAAAGAACACGATTCGGACTAAATTTTCTTCTCACTCTCTTCAGACTGAATTCACTTCTGATTCTCTTCAGATTGAATTCACTTCTGATTCTCTTCAGACTCAATTCACTTCTGATTCTCTTCAGACTCAATTCACTTCTGATTCTCTTCAGACTCAATTAACTTCTAATTCTCTTCAGACTTAATTCACTTCTGATTCTCTTAAGACTCAATTAACTTCTAATTCTCTTCAGACTCAATTAACTTCTAATTCTCTTCAGACTTAATTCACTTCTGATTCTCTTAAGACTCAATTAACTTCTAATTCTCTTCAGACTCAATTCACTTCTGATTCTCTTCAGACTCAATTAACTTCTGATTCTCTTCAGACTTAATTCACTTCTGATTCTCTTAAGACTCAATTCACTTCTGGTTCTCTTCAGACTCAGTTCACTTCTGATTCTCTTTAGACAGAGTTCACTACTGATTCTGTTCAGACTGACTTCACTTCTGCTTTTCTTTAGACTTAAACCACTTCTGATTCTCTTCATACAGAAATCACTTCTGATTTTCTCCAAAAGAAACAAACAAAAATCCATTCTAGTTGTCTTTACGGATAAACTGTTATTTATTGTTAGACTTTCAGTTTAATATCTGAACTGAATTCACTGAAATGGACCAAAGAGACTCTAACAAGACACACACACACACACACACACACACAAACATAAGCAACACTGGAGAAGTAAAGCAGAGCGAGTGAGTGACAGCCAATTGAAAAAGGCAGACACACGTTCAGCCCACAAAGGTAAAACATTAAAAATAGCAGACCTCGTGCAACAGCAAAACAACGATCATTCAATGTGACAGTTCATGAATCTTTAAACCACACCAATGAGCACATTTGATCGTTTTGAAGAAAGATAAACAATTCATGATACACTAATCCAAAGTGACCACATCCACGGTGGCCTGAGCTGATGTCAAACTGAGGCAGTCATTTCCTAAAACTCCTCCACTCACGATCAACATATGATGTTCACACACATACACACACACACACACATGCGCGCACACACGCACAAACTCACAAACAAAAACTATTAAAAAAAAACATTTAAATAAATAAATAAATAAATAAATCACATCACACACAAAAACACACTTATAAGCATCTCACACACACACTTCTCGACTCATGATTAACATAAGATTTTCAAACATGCACGCAGACTCACTCATGCACTAAAAAACACAAATACACACACATACAAATCCTCACACATAAAAAACCCAGACACACAAAAAAAAACAATCACAAAGAATATCACTAACACTCCTCATGAACAACATAGGATCTTCACACACACACACGCAAACACGCACGCGCACACACACACACACACACAAACACACACACACGCGCATACACACAAACCTCATAAACAAACCCCCCCCACACACACACACACA